TACAATCTATGGATTCACATTCAAAGCAAATATTTTGAAACTGAATGTTGCCATAAACAAATGTTTTAGAACTGCCACATGGCTTCTTCATTCTACACCTCAAGAAGCACTTTATATAGAGAGAAATTACATATTTTGGAACAATTCTCTTTACGTAATCATGGGCTCCATAAAACATTTTGGAGATATGATAACGCAAACAATAATTCATGTATAAACTCTATTGGCTAAATCTTGGCGCTTTTTTCAAACTTGGAAATACCTCTGCCTTCCAAACCTAGCGCAAATCTTATATGCAGCAATAGTTTCGTTTCAATTAACACTACTTTATCTTCACACTTAAAAACTCACACCAGTGAAGAGCGCTATAAACAACTCTTTCTGCCTTAAGCCCGGACACGATCCTTTACACAGACGGTTCCTCAAATGTATATTCTACATCATATGTAGTAATCAAGCAATTGACAACGAACAGTTTCTCAACGATTTGCAAAACAAGATTGCCAAGCAATACTGGTATATTCACAGCAGAGCTGAGTGCTTTAAAACCCGCCATAATCCACGCCAAACACTATATAAAGACGTTAATTGGTATCGACAATTTGAGTGTCGCCAAGGCCCTTCAACACAACAAAGGAGGAATCTACACTGATATGGTGACGATCCCAAACACTATGAGATTGTAGTTTTATGGATACCATCACATTCAGGTATTAAGGGAAGTGATTTGAATGATAAGATGGCAATAGAAGCATTGGTTATGATTTCTATAGCAGAAATTCCCTGTTTTCATTTCACCTTACTGCATCTTTATAAAACAAAACTACGCGGGAGTAAATCAATTATGTGGCAATCTTCGTCCACTTTTCTTAAACGAGATAATTCAACAATTCCAAGGATTAGCCATAATCCTGATTTATCTAGATCAGATTTTATTTTCGTAGCCCTACTCGGGTTAGTAAATGCTTATTTAACACTACGGCGACTTCCTTCAATATTTTGTAAGTGTTACTTTATAAAATATTTTGTAAATAAATAATTAAAAAATGTTGCGATTTTTCGTCATCTTCCCCGTATGCCCTGCATATGATGTTATCTTATCTTGTACAGATGAACTTTTAGGCCCAGGTGCCCCATAAGGATGCCTGTTACCTCCCTGATCTCCTTCTTACCTAGTAATAAAAAGGATCGCCCCATAGGATTTTGGCGATTTTCCCTACGCCCTCATTGTTCCATAGGGATCTGTGGGTGTTTTTTGCCAATGTCTTTAGCACTACAAGTTACGCATTTAACGGCACTGGATTGTCTACGTTGATTGTTGCTAATACCCTGACTTTTTTAGCGTCACCTCTAACTTCCGTATGATCTGGTACCCATATAAAGCGTACTAAGCCGTGTTGAGAGTAGTTGTTGATTGAAACTATACATTCCGTTTTTGGAGTTACTGTTTTGGATGTTATAGCTTTTATAGTTGTCTTACTGTCCGTTATGACGTTAACGGTAGCCGATCTCGTGTTAGCATTAAGCCAGTTCCATCCGGACATCCTCTTGAAGGATCGTATAGTGATCGGGCGGGCAAGCGGAGAGAGATTTCGGTATTTGGTTCTTCAATAGAACGTCCCAGTACCGCTCTGCACTGAGCCGTGTGTATAACAACAGTTTCCAGTCGGCATTTGTGGTAGAAATCCGTCGATCCACGAGTCTCTGGTAGGGATTAATGTTTCACAAGAGGCAGCTACAATTGTTTCAGATATCCGGTCCGGTACGAAGTTTTTTTTTTGCTTATCTACTCGTCCGTCGCCCTGAGCCATAAGGCCGCGACGGCCGCTTCATACCGAATCTGAATATCTATTGGGTGCACACAAAAAGAATTGTCTCTAATACCCTAGTTGGTGTTGTCCTCATTGAGCCGCAGATGCTTAAGCAGAACATTCGTTGGACTTCCTGTAGAACAGGTCTAATTTCGCTTTTGTATAGCCAGTGTGTCATATTTGGATTGAAACGCCACGAAACCCCTTTTACACGTTGCCTAACATCTATGAGCTTTGTTTGCTCTTTCTTGGATGTGGTCTCTTATGTTAACGTTCCTTATGTTAAGGTCAGTTTATCCATCTATTCCTTAGCATATGGTTTATCCAGTCCCTTAGGGCCCGGTCGACCTGAAAATTACCTGAGGATTAGATGAATGAATCTGTGCTGACGTTGTTGAACGCGCCTTCGATGTCAATGCATACTGCTAGTGTGTACATCTTTTTATCAAAGGTGCTCTCGATGTGGTGCACAACCTCGTATGAAAACCGCATTTTCCACTGAACGTAAATTTTATAACATTTTTAACATATCTTTCGAAGAATGTATTCCTAAAATCGAAAAAAAATGTTTATAGTGCGGTTGTAAGATTTAGAAGATTTTCCAAAAGAATTTTAGTTTTATGTAATTCTTTTGTTCCTCTTCTATTGAGCTTACGATCTCGTCACTTGGGTAAAAAATGTTTTTTGTCATAGAAGTTATTTTTTAAAATAACTTCTGGGGAGAATATCCCAGACAAGAAACAAGGGAACTGATGAGGATTGTTGGCTCTTTCCGAAACCTAGGTATTCCCTGCCTTACCCCCTGGTAAACATTACCATCGTTCTCCACTCATAAACAAACGTTGTTTTTATAAAAACAACAATAATGGGATTTTGCCTGACGATTTTGCAAAACAAAATACTATGGTATCCCAAACAAGCAAGCCAAACACTGTTCGAAAAAAAAAACTTCAAAAAAACTTTACTAAAAACTCTAAGGACAAACTTTTTCCAAAATATAAGAAATATGGGTCTGACAATTATTCAATTGCTAGATCAAGATATGCTACAGAAGCTCGTAGATCGTACAAAGATTATCTAAATACAGTTAAAAACAATTTAAAATGTAATTCAAAGTCCTTTTACGATTTTGTAAATTTAAAAAGAAAAACATCCTCCAAACTTTGTGTATTAAATGTTGATAATAATAAACATGTTCCCTATACTGAAAATGCTGAATGTTTTGCTAAGTTGTTCGCGTCTGTCTATTCTTATGTAAATAAATAAATTAATTTATGCATGTGTGTCTTCTTTTGAATATAAAAATTGTTGGGGAAATATTCAAAATCAGTTGATACATATTTCAACGTATGTGTGAAAAAAATTACACTTTTGTAGCAAAAAAAAAAACTAGAGAAATAAAAAAAATAATTTTGAAAAGGAATCTAGATCTTTCATTCAATTTTTGCGTTTTTTGTTTATATATTCAAAATAGATGCAACAAGTTGTTTAGTTTATTTGATAATAAACAATTAGTTGCATTTGTTTTATAGCAATTCTGACATACTATCCATACAGGTAGGCCCGTTACTTGCAAAATTTTCCAACAGCCTACCTTCTCTTCATTGTACTATACATGCATTCATACGCTTCAGATTTTACTGTCATAAAAATGTTTTAAAGAAATCGTAGTCGGCATTCCAAAGCAGGGGTAAAAATTCTTTGCCAAAGGGTTGGTAAAAGTGTAAATTTTTAATCAATGGGATAGTAAAAGTTAGATTTATATTTTTGGTAGAAATTTTTGTTATTTTACTTGGCCTTTAAAGCAAGCATAGTTTTTATGTGAGTTTTCAATTCATCATTCAATCAATGTAGTACCAACATGGCTAGGTATCCAAAAAAGTTGTAGGTTCTTTAGCACATTTTATTGATCAAGGGTAAAGTAGGATGCTTAACTTTAAAACTAACTGGTAGCACTAAAATTCACAGCTAATAGTTAAGGCTTTGTTTGGCTTTTAAAACTTTTAAAGCATATTGGTCTACGATGGATGATTTCTGGAGTGCAATTTTATTTGCGAGTGATGGTTGATATTACAGTTTAATTTACTAGCTTAATACTATGTGCATATATTCTCACTCGGATGCAAACATGGCAAAGTGACTTAATAAAATTGACATTTTGCTTAATATTGATGTTTTTACTAAGTTTGGGTGTTGATATAGGTGAATGTATTCGATGAAAGGAAATTGATGATTGATGATTTTGAGTCAAAGATTTTGTCAAAAGGTTTTCCTAGGACTTGAAATTTAACATTTATACAGTTGTGTTTCCTGCAAATACGTATTATTTCGAGTAGAATTATAAACGAGTACTATGAGTTCTACTTGGCATTTTCACAACTCAGACTATATATTGTACAGTGAAATTATAAGAAAATTTGCACCGAATTGGGAAAAAGTGCTAAATTGGTAAAAAATAATCACGGTTTTTTATTAACAATTATTTTTATGCTACATATTAAGTTTAAAATTTATTTTGTTCAGAGACACATAACCAGTTTGATCTGGAATTATTCTAACTTCGACACTTCCTAAAAATTAAGTATAATTAAGTATTAAGTATTTTCATAGGTTGGATAGGTATTTTCATAAGGTTTCAAACGATACCTATATTGTCTATATCGGTTAAGTAGATCCGGGTGCAGCCCAGTCCGCCCCCAAGAAAAAAAATAGTTTCGCGAAATCAGAGTAAGAATGCCCACCTCTGGAAAAAAAAATTCGAAAAAATCGAAAATTTTTACTAAACTAGAGTTGTTCCGGTTGGCGTGTACTTTCCTAGCACATTTGCTTCAACTAAGTGAGCCTGGTGGAAAACACATTTCTTGGTATTTCGTTTGGATAACTTAACCCACTTGCTGCGATGGTACCACTTTCAGTCATATGTATTCTCATTAAAGGAAAAAATATATGGGCCTAAAATGTTTAATAAAAAAATATAAAAGAAATGTATCCTCAACAAATGGGCTAAGATTATTTAGATCTCCTAAAGGTATTCTTTTTAACCTTTTACGGCATTTCTCATACGGCAGTAAATTTTTTAATCAATAAACCTGAACACCGAAATCATGCAAATTATACAATTTGAAATGTATATACAAGAATATTTTTAAATAATCAATACAATGTGAAATTCAATAATTTTACAATTACCTCAGACTCCTCGGCTTCTGAATCTATAAAGTCTGCCATTTTCAGTTAAATATCCACTTAACACGTGCCAATTTAATGTACAAATCTTGCTGTATAAATTTACTTAAAGCGAAAATAGAGAAAATAAAACAAAAATATTAAAAGTATTCAGTTGCAAAGTAACCGGTATTGATACTTACCTAATACGAAAAAAGTTCAATGTAAAACTGTGAGAAATGAAACACTGCGCTTTAGGTCATTTTTAGAGTCGCTTAATGCTAGGAACCAAGGTAGATCTAACAGGTAACCGCATCGGCGAATTGCTACAACAAAGCAACTTTTGTGGTCCCCTCAAATGTCAAAATTGGCATCTAAGGCGAAAAACATAGATTCGCCATGACATTTAAAGGTTGCGGCAAATTTGTTTCAACCAATCAGAAACGAGGTGTTTGTTTACATTTTATTTTGTGTGCCTCTCGTCGTAAACGAACGTCGCAATAAAAGTTTTTATTGTAAAACAAATAAGAGTAAAATAAGTATTAATTGTAGTATTGCGATATTTTTTAAACCAAGAAACTTATAATGACTATATTTTACTGGTTTAAACCGAAAGTTTTTCGGAACTGCAAATGACAAGAGTCGAATTCTTGCACTACTTCCCGTGATGTGCTTTGGGAATCTTAGATGTTGAGGCTAACTTAATTCTTAAAGCTGCACTCCATTCTAACCTCCTTCTTTCATTTTCTTTTAATTTTTTTTACAGGTTTCACTCTTAACTTGGTCTTAAATTATTTGAAATATTATAAAAAGGTACTTTTAGGGAAGACAACATAAACAAATTTGTTGTTGCATTCATTTAGGGCGAATTCTTCATTACAACAAAATGTTTTGACATTTAATGGTGCCGTCAGCTGGGCTGATGCGATTACCTAGTACATCTACCTTGCTAGGAACATTATTGGAGCGAACGACGAATTTTTCGTATGTTCGTCGTCAAAAATAAACAAGTTAAAAGGCACTAAGTTCGGCCGTGCCGAACTTTTAATACCCTCCACCATTTGCAACGAATTTGGAAATTTTTAAAAAATAAAATCCTTAAAAGATTCTGTTAAAATTTAAAAAATATCGAATATAGCCGTTATATTGGGGTCTATGCGACGTGAACATACATAGGCATTGTTTGTCATAAGCGGTGAATAATGCTAGGAACACAATTGGAGCGAACGACGAATTTCGCCCTACGCGGCGACAAAATGAGCCGCGAAAATTCGTCGTATGGAACACAATACCGACGAAATTATAAAACAGCTGATGAAGTTGTTTACTTTTTGCTCATTTGTTGACTACAATGAATTATACAAGAACACATAATTCTTTACGTTCTCTATTATAATTTCACTTATGTCCATCTTCTCTATTATAAATTCACTGATATCCATCTTCACTCAGGCGCAAGTACACAAATAAATAAACAAATTAATTATGTTTTTTTTTATACGAGTAACAGATAGTAGAGTGACCATAACAAATTTTAAAGTAAAAAGTAACTTTATTTACTAAAACACATAAAATTCGTACAAGTATGGCCACCTTGTACTGTTTTGTTCGCCGGTCGCCGGCGTATGAAATAGAAATAAAGCTAATTGAGTTCGCGGCGACCGACGAAATTTTCGCCGGTGCCGTGATTGTGTGCACTTCCATATACACATATGCAAGGTAGATGTACTAGGTAATCGCATCAGCCCAGCTGACGGCACCATTAAATGTCAAAACAAATTGTTGTAATGAAGAATTCGCCCTAAATGAATGCAACAACAAATTTGTTTATATTGTCTTCCCTAAAAGTACCTTTTTATAATTTTCAAATAATTTAAGAGCAAGTTAAGAGTGAAACCAGTAAAAAAAGTAAAAGAAAATTAAGGAAGGAGGTTAGAATGGAGTGCAGCTTTAAGGATTAAGTTAGCCTCAACATCTAAGATTTCCAAAGCACATCACGGGAAGTAGTGCAAGAATTCGACTCTTGTCATTTGCAGTTCCGGGAAACTTTCGGTTTAAACCAGTAAAATATAGTCATTATAAGTTTCTTGGATTAAAAAATATCGCAATACTACAATTAATACTTATTTTACTCTTATTTGTTTTACAATAAAAACTTTTATTGCGACGTTCGTTTACGACGAGAGGCACACAAAATAAAATGTAAACAAACACCTCGTTTCTGATTGGTTGAAACAAATTTGCCGCAACCTATAAATGTCATGGCGAATCTATGTTTTTCGCCTTAGATGTCAATTTTGACATTTGAGGGGACCACAAAAGTTGCTTTGTTGTAGCAATTCGCCGATGCGGTTACCTGTTAGATCTACCTTGCACATATGTGTTTTATTTTTGACGACGAACATACGCCGCGAAAAAATTCGTCGTTCGCTCCAATTGTGTTCCTAGCATAATGTAGCTATAATCACCAAAATATCGTATATAAGGAGGTGCCGTTAAATTGGAGCTGTGCAAAGACCTGAACCAGCATAGACAATTTTTTGTCACAGGCTGTAGCATCCATTACGAACTTCAAATACCACATTTCAAAACAATTTCGGTGGGTATTGTACCTAAAATCGTCAAAATACCGAATATGGGGAGGTACTGATATATGGGGCCTATACGAAGACCTGGACCCGCACAGACAATTTTCTGTCACAGACTGTAGTATTCATTACGAACTTCAAACACAAATTTCGAAACAATTCCGGTGACTAATGTCGCTAAAATCATCAAAATACCGAATATAGGGAGGTACAGTTATATGGGGGCTATACGAAGACGTGGACCTGCACAGACAATTTTCTGTCTTAGGGTGTAGTATCCATTTTGAGCTTCAAGTACCAAATTTGAAACAATTCCCGTGAATAATGTCGTTAAAATCACCAAAATACCGAATATCAGGAGGTACCGTTATATGGGGGCTATACGAAGACATGGACTTGCACAGACAATTTTCTATCTTAGACTGTAGTATTCATTACGAACTTCAAATACCAATTTTCAAACAATTCCGGTGAATAATGTCACTAAAATCATGAAAATACCGAATATAGGGAGGTACTGATATATGGGGGCATTACGAAGACGTGGACCTGCACAGACAATTTTCTGTCTTAGGGTGTAGTATCCATTTTGAACTTCAAATACCAAATTTGAAACAATTCCAGTGAAAAATGTCCCCAAAATCATCAAAATACCGAATATAGGGAGGTACCGTTATATGTGGGCTATATGAAAACGTGGACCTACATCGAGGAGTTACAAACGGAATGACAAAGTTAATATACCCTCCATAGTATGGTGGAGGGTATAAAAGCATATGTGTATATAGAAATGTACACAATCACGGCTCTGGCGAAAATTTCGTCGTTATTTCTATTTCATACGCCGGCGAACGGCGAACTAAACAGTACAAGGTGGCCATACTTGTACGAATTTTCTGTTTTAGTAAATAAAGTTAGTTTTTACTTTAAATTTGTTATGGTCACTCTACTATCTGTTACTCGTATAAATAAAACATAATTAATGATCTAAAATTTGCATAGTTCCTAGTGTATAATTCGCATATGCTAATTTGCAATAAGTTCGAAATATATACTACTATCCAGAGAACGGCCCTTGTAAGCCATCACCCACACCAAATATGCCTAATGAGCTGTTTTCGCGCGTAATATACAAGTTAAAGGATTTTACACGATCGCGAATAAAAAAATTAATTCCAAGGCGCTTCCAACTGCGCCTGATTAAATAAAACACGGATATTTAATTTTTTAACAATTATAACAATTCACACTTTAATGATACTCAAGATAATTAATTACATAGAAGATATTAATATTTAATGAACTGTACTCGAAATAGCCAAAGCCAAGACTGCCGGTTGCCTTCCAACTTTGTTGGCTCAATGGTTCTATTGATTCCGTTCGACCAACACGCGCCAGTATGCAGGTGCTGATACTGCAGAAAGAATTTCTCATCGCTTGCAATATCGAAATTGGATCGGAAGCGCGTGTAGCAATCAAAATGAAATGAGCTTAAGTTGCAGAAGCGACAGTGTCGCCAATGTCGTTAACTCCTCCCTCCTTAAATATCTGCGTCCCGCAGATCTGCGAATCTATAGGGGGCAGCTGAACACGTAGCTTTGGGAGATTTAGTTTCCTCGTTTGCTGATACCACAACCAACCAATGCAAAGAGAGATGGAAGCAATGAACATAACATTAATGCCAATGGTACTATTAAATCTCACTCCAAACTGGTTCAATCGGTTAATGTTATTGAGGCCTATTTCATGGACATACTTTATGTCAAGCAGCAGGTCTTTATGTGTAATATTCGATAGCACCGGAGGTAATACCATGTTTCCATTGGAAACCGAACAACGTTGTTCGCTCTCAGAATTAGGTACACGAATTAACCCGTTCATACGGCACGATTCGTAATTCATAGTAAAATAATTCCTTTTTTCAAAAAAATTGTTTGTTGATTTTAAAGGGAATGTATACGAAAATACATGAAACTCTCACTTATATGAATATAAGAAATTATTGTTTTTCTCCCAAAAATTTATTATATAATTAATTTTACAATTTTCATTCACGTTTTCAACTTTTTGTGTAAATGTTGACATTTTGAACATATTTTTGTGTTTTTCCATTTTTAAATTATGCCGAAGAGACACTTGTCAAACATTTTTTCTGCCGATAGAAACATTTTGAAAATATTGACTATTTTGTTTGCAGTTTTCCGTAGAAATTTTAACTCGTGGACCAAATGCGTACCTCGAATGAGAGAGAAAACAAAATTTGGCTTTCCTTTTCACTGCAAATTTCAGATCATTAAGCTCGTCTCGAAAGAGAAAACGAACACATAAATCATAAAACATATGACCTTCGCCTTAACAAGGCAAAACTCAAAAATTCAGCCGAGCCTGGCTGTGGGATTTGAACCGCGGACCTCGGTGTGCAGCCAACTAGAAGTTGCCGTCTCTACGTTCAGAGCCATTAACCCGTCTTCCTAAAGCAGCACTAAAACAAGTGTATGCATTGGAAGCAATGTAGTTGTTGTGGACAAAAAATCCATCACTACAAAAACACAAAAAAAAAAAACTTTGCTGTGAAAAAGATCTGCCAATAGAA